TATATATATATATATATATATATATATATATATATATATATATATACATGGTTAGGATCACTGTCCTGCCAGAGTTCTCTCCCACTTGGATGTGCTTCTCTATTTTTCTGCCCTTATCTACTACACATTTCACGGATGGGCCAAGAGTATACCTGATTTAGAAGTGGTGCAGTTCCCCTCATCAGATCCTTAGATCTGACTCTCATTTCCAGGGGTATCCTTCAGATGTTTTTGGGGGATACTTCTCTCATTCCCTCACACCAGTCCTGCTACCTAATCATTGAGGGATTTTAGCTAATCTTGTGAGATGAGTAAAGTACTGTATCAGAAGTTTTAATTTTCCTATACTGAAAATGTATTTCCGATAGGTACTTCCGTCTGCTTAAACTTCCCATCCTTCCTCCCCACTTTCCTCTGGTGCTTACATCTTCTGCTAAACCTTGAGGTGATATTTTGGTAGAGGCGTATAGAGGGAGTCGCATGTGTCATGTGAGTATGTCACACTCATATTGGTTGAGAAGCGATGCATGATGATTTACATGAAAGACATGTTGGAATCTTTCAATTCCAGTAGGGGGGAGCAGAAGGCTTGTGGCATGCATAATAAAAAAATTAGCATATAGAGGGTAGCACTGAATGAAAATAGCTAATCTTGTGAGCGAGGGAAGTACGTATCGGAAATACATTTTCAGTATAGGAAAATTATAACTTTCCATTCTTTCCCCTCTTTTATGTGTAACTGAAATTTGTATTAAGACAAAGCTGTTATGAGTTAATCACACACTTTAAAATTACAGATGCCTCTATGAATTTACCAAAGTATGAGAATAATCTCTGCAGGAGTACAGTATTTTGAATTAATTACAGAACAAAGTGAATCAACTTGAATGATGCTTGTTCGTGGGTAAGAACTTAGCCTGACACAAGATTATCTATTACAAAACCATTGTAATAATCTCTAACTTAGTATTAAAATACAATCATCAAAAGTGGTAACAAGTTAGTTAAAACAGCTTACTAATTTTTATGTAACAGTTTGTCTATTTGTATTAGATGTTTGTTTCCTTAACTTCTTCTAACCTAGTATCTTCTATTTTTATGAGGGCACATGTCAACATTAAGTTTTTAGAAATTGCCTACAAAATAAAACTGCAGCTGAAATGTTTATATTTTGAATTTTGTATTCATATAAATTCAGTAAGATTTGTGTTGGACAAAGTAATACAATTCAAACTCCTAATCCTAACTCTGTAAGATAAAACTTATAAACATCCAAACAAAACTGCAAACCTGTGGTCTTTGAACATGTTTATTGCTAGCTCAAAAGTTTGAAAAGAGTGCTTTTTTTAGGTTGGTGGTATAAAAATTCTGAAATTTAATTAACTATACTTTTTGTTTTACAATTTCCAAATTTTTGAAACTATAGAAATCTTAAATGTATCATTTGAAAGCTTGAGTTGTTTTCTTTTTTGTAATCTATTTGCCATTAAGCCTTTTTTTTTCATCCTTTAATTGGTTCTAACTTTCAAACCCTTAGCTATTATGTCAGAATCTTTTCTTTAATCATGTCCCTTGAACTAAAAATTATCCAACTATATCATGTTTTTTTTTATAAGCAACATGTTACCTTTATTGGTTCTTCTGCTTGCTTGGTTATTTTGTTTAAGTAATTACTTTGGGAGTTGCTTTTCATTGTACAAAAACTTGCTAGCAACTTGAAGTTAATGGTATCTTATTGTTGAATTCACTCAAGAATGATTTTAAAGATCATTGGTGCTCTTTTTAAAACAATTGTACATAATGTCTAAATAGAGTACAGAAATAACTTTTGTAAATAAGATATTGTAAAAATACTATCTGATTATATTAGCTTTAAAGATGTATTAGATATTTCAAAATTTCAACAAAATGGGTTAGCACATAACATCAGGCTTGTGTTTGTATTTTTTGCTATTCAGAAATATATATATATGTTTGTTGGAATGAAATAGATTAAAAAAAACATAACTGTTCAAGGATATAAAAAATTAAGAAATAAAAGAGAAATACTTATGAATTAAACCACAGAGTCTTTGTAAGGCAAGTGTGTGTGTGTGAAACCCAGCTTTCAGATAATTGTAATGGCACAGCATATAGCTATGTAATATAGTGATTTTTATTTCATCACAAAATTAACAGAAAAAAATCACAGTAAGGTTCAGAAATATTGCATGGCTATCATGCTTTATGTTTGAAGTGTCTGTGTTTCAATTACAGTGGTGCTATAAGTTGTTATCAATGCAAAGTCAAAAATGGTAACAGACTGTCTTTGGACTGGAAAGGATTAAGAAGAAACTCGTTAATATCAGGAGTCTTCTGTAGCAATTTTTCATTTGGTATTAACCTGTTCACTTCCAGGGTCATATTTATGTCTCTCTCTAGAGCATTGCCATGAGCACATATACAGGGCATCCTATAATTTTTGTTTCAGCCTTGAAAAGTGTGATATTAAGCAAATTTTGTGACAAGTATGCAATAAAATCAATAAGTAAGATACAAGTAATTATAAACCAAATATATGGTTAATGTGTATGCAAAAGTAATACTCTTACTGGAAAGTTGTTTATCTATAAATATAGCAGTTAAAGAGTTAACTAAAGAACTTTGTAATCTTGAAAAACATTAACTGACAATTGTAATTGAATAGACTGCTATTTAAAGATTTCAAATGCACTTAATATTAAGAGAGATTTCACTTTAACATACCATTTTTATACATGTATATCATAGGTATTTTAATACAATTTTATAATAGATATTTATATGACCACTCTTTTACCTAAGCTGTCACAGAAATATCTCACATTTTTACTAGCTATCATGCTTAGTTCTCAGATAATTGTATTTCTTACATTTTCAGGTTTCCTGCAAGATCCTCCACCTAAGGAGTGGATCAGAATTAAAAGAGACTGTCAATGAATTACACAGACACTTTGACTATTTTGGTTCTCCTATTATGATGGGTAAGAAAAAGCTTTGGTGGAATCAACTTGTATATGTAGATCATATTCTTATAGATACATGACTTAGATTATTGTACTGTTGATCAAAAAGTGATATTACTTTGAAAAAATGGTAATATGTATTTTTTTAATTACCTTAAGTGTTCCATAAATTTCACTAATAATGTGGTAAAACATTTTCAAAAACCTTAGTGCTTAAGGCAGGTGGACTTTTCTTTTGGGGCAAAGGCAGAAGAAGACAGGCTCATCTGTCAAAAGTAATAGAGTTTAATTGTTTTTTTGTAATGTTATTTTCATACTTTTTGATCCTATGCTTTTTTTTTTACTATCATGTACAATCACTTAAAATGTGTTATTTAGACCTTACTGGTTTTAATACCCACATATGAAAAAAAACCTACTCAACTGATTTTTTGGTGTATTGAAGTAACACTGAATTTTCCTTAGAGCAATGGCACAGGTCTACTGAATAATGGAAGGTTCTATAAGATATTTATTATGAAGTAATTCTAAATTCTCTGAATATCTGAGTTTGTGAGAATGAAATGGAGAAACTGAACACAGTGTCAAATACAAAAGCACAAATTATATTATGACAACTACAAAAATACAGTGTGTACAAGTAAAGAAACACTTTTCAAAAAAGGAAGTAAGCGTAGGGATAGCTAATATCAATCCTTCAAAAACAATGCAAACAAGATAGTAGGGATGGCATTAGCATCATCCCTATGTAATAGCACAGGTACACAGTGTAGTAGGATGTAAACAGACAAAAATAGGATAATTTAAACTCAGTTGTGATAGAATAATTATATATATTGTTATACATTGATTCTTGCCTGTG